CGTGCTTTTAAAATAGCTCTAAAGCTCCGAGGCTTTCACGAGACACATCAAACACATCAGAGGGACTAACAGAGTAATGGAGCAACCATCAACCTTTGCACATTGTAGTAACTCAAAATAATTCCCAGAAACATGGAATTTTACTAGGAGCCAGTATTTTTTTGTTTCATCATGTTGCTGTTGTCCCATATTTTGCTAACATTGGTTATTTTTGGTATTTCATTGCTTTAATTACTCTTTCAAAGCCTTGTGTGGAGTTTGGTGTCCATCTCAAACCAGAGTGCACCAGTGATGTACTCACAGAGGTGGCGGGGGGGGGGTCACACTGTGATGTATTGTAAGGTGTTATTAAATCCAATTAACAAACTTAGTTAAAATTAAAATATTCTTTCAAGATTTCCTGGGTTTTATGTCAGGATCTCTAAAAAAAAGAAAGCAACAGGTCAGAATTTCAGAGAGTGAGTAATGTTACTCTTAGTGCAATCCACTGTGACTAGGGAACACTGGGTAGGAATCACCTTATGTGCTGTGATTTTTATAAATCAATTGAACCTTTTTATTCACAGGCCAAGTATCCTGACATTGTGACCCTTCCAGAAGGACTGTGGGGAGATTTTATAATTCTAAGGAGCCCCAAAGTTTCTGGGTAAGCCAATAAATGCATTTCTGTACTTACACAGGTGAGGGATTGCACGGGCAGGGCAGCAGCCTTGTGCTGCAGCCCTGGGTTCCTTCTGTGGCAGGAGGTGCAGGGATCTCAGTCCCATCCCAGCAAAGCCAAGTTCCTTGCTGTCTTGCCATTAAAAAACAGAAAGAAAAAGAGCATTTACTGTGCAATGGAAGCAAAGCAACTGTGGCTATACTTTTCCATTGTTTTAGATGGAAATCAATTAGATGAAGGAATTATTACCTACAAGGCAAATGGGATTTGTTTGGCCTCCCCATTCCAGCACAGAGAGAGATGTTCCAGTACATTTGGGATTTTCAGCAGGGAGAAAAGTCCTTACAGTTAAATATAAGATGGTGTAACTATCACTGTGAGGAATTCTGTAAGGGCAATGAAAAGTAATTGTTTTGTGACTGGATCAGAGAGTTCCCTTCTCCTGTTACACCTTGCTTTAACATGCTTTAATTTACATGGAAATAAGGCTCAGCTCCCTTCATTATGTTTGAGTGCAGAACTACCAAACAAACCCTGATAGATGATGCTGCTTCATTCAGCCAAACTTGCTCTTGAAAACTAAGTGCTTTAACTCAGGGGTGCAGGAATGAATTGTTCTTAGCCTGTCCCAGATAGGGAAGAAGTTGCTTTATTTTACAGTTTCTCTTCTGGTGCCAGGTGCCAATTCCATTATCCTCATTCCCTCTCACCCACATGAAACACAGGAATATAAAAGTTATTTCAGTGGCTTGGTAGAAAAGAGACTGGCATAGAAATTTGTTTGCAAAATCCCAGAACAAGCTGTGCACAAATTCCCAAAGGCTTTATAAAAATGAAGTGGCAAAAGGCTGACAAATCACATTGGAAGGAAACTCTTAGATGGGTTGAACACCACTGAGAAAGGGACCTTCCTCCTCACAGTGACTCAGTGTGCAGAGCAGCTTTGGCTTAGGAAAGCCTTACCTCCAGTAAGGGATTTGAGGGTTGGAGGGAACAAAGGGAGCTGTAAAGCAGCAGCTCTGCTGTGGATGCTGTTCTGGACTCAGCTCCTGCCTCACCATTCCCTTGGGATGGTGCAGTGATCTCGTGCCACTGTGAAAGCTGGGAATCATGACTGGCCTTGCACAACCAACACCACTATTCCTGAAGAAGTAACAATTTTGTTAAGCTTTATTCTAATTAAAACCAAAGAACTGCAGGAATGTGAGCTTTGGACAGATGTCTACCTGCCATTAGTCTAAAAAGGCCATGAATAGCAGAGTAGCCCTTATTCCAAACCCAGCACATCACCATTTATACAAACACTTCTGAAACAAGTTTCCTGTTCTCAGCACCTGATCCTGAACAGATATTACCTGAGGGGTGGAGCCAGGGGACACTTAGTGCCCTCCTTTGCTTTCCTCTCACTTTGACTGCACTGTGCAAATCTGGATGTAGCCAGAATCTTTCCTTGTTGTTGGACTGATGCATTCCTGGTTCCTGAACCCAGAGATGGTTTGTTGCATTCAAGTGAGGTGAATTTTGTTGCAGAGCATGAGTTTGAACCTCGTGTCTGCTGCAATTTCTGCTTTGAAGGAACCTCAAAGACAGCACCTGGTTAACCTGAGCTGCCTTTGCTACAGGTTTGAATTGATGATTGTCTGGAAGATCCATCTTGATGAAGAAGGGACCACTACACCTGTCCTGGACCTGCTGCCCAAAGTACCAGAACAAGGTAACCTCAGTCACTTCAGGGACTGTTCCTGAGCTGCCAGACCCTGGTTTTGGCCATGGAACTCCAACTCCCAGAGCCCAACCAGACAAACCCACCCCAATTCAGCAGCAGCTACACTTTACCTCCTGTGTAATCTCCAAGGGCTCACAAACTCTGCAGGCATCCTGCTTTACTCACCTGCTGTCAGCACTGCTGCAGCTCTTGGAAAATAACCTGCACTGCTGTGTTTCTCCTGCAGTCCTGGAGCAGAGGATGACGAGTGTGGAGAACATCCCTGGCAGCTTCCGGAGCGCGCTGCGGCTCTTCGGGATCGAGGCAGCCATCGAGAACCTGATCAAAGTGCTGGGCTCAGAAAAATGAAAGCCAGCATTGCTTACACCAGGTAGCAATTTCAAAAGTAGTTTTAATTAAGATATTGTGTTACACAGTCTGCAATTTTATTGAATATAAACATTAAGTTATTTTCCATTTAGAAACCATACTCATAAAACATGCTATCTGTACAATTATGGCACGTTATATATAAATTGTCATGACATGAAAATAAATACAGCCATTTAAATACAAAAATGCCAAATAAAATAGTTACATGTACAGAGTGATTTCATTATAAATTCATCTTTCTGAATCATCAATGTACCAGAGTGGTTTATCTTCTTAACATTTCTAGATACCTGGAAATTGTTAAAAGATCATGCACTGTCAAAATCAAGTCCATAAAAATCCAATTCATTTCACAGCTCTGTAAAAGTACAGTGATTTTAAAATGACAAGAGAACAGTAAGAGACTCCTAGAACAAAGAGTTAAACAGCTTTCTTATTAAATTAGGGTGGAAAAAGACAATTTGAAGATTTCAGACATACAATGCTAAAAAACACAAAGGTAACTGTATGAAGTAACTTTGTTCCACAATGTGAGTGTTGAGACAGCATTAATCTAACCCAGAGAGGCCCATGACACCCCCGGGAATAGGTGAGCAAGTCACCTCCTGCCCACTGCAGCACTTCCTTTGCACTTCTGACTTCCAGGAGGAAATTCTGGTACACATTACTAAAGCATCACCTTTTACACATTCATCCCTGAAGAAACAAAACAGATCAGACCAATGTCCTGCCTCTCCCTTCAATTCCATCTGACGAGCCCATCTGGGAACTCTCAGTGTTGCCAGGAGTTCCTGCTCTGCACTAGCACTGCACCCCAACCAAACTGATGTGACTGGAGTCAGGTACTTCTCAGCTGGGGAGCAACAGTTCCTGGAACCAAGAGCCCAAAGCCACCAGCTCTGGGCTCTCATGTGACAGGAAGAGCCCTCCTTTCCAAGGCCAGAGCTGCTGGAGCCCCCAGCAGCACAACCCCATACTCCATGCAGCAAAAGGTGGAGAATCTGAACTAAAGCAACCGTATGTTTCTAGTCCCATAAATGTAATAATCCACTCTTTGATCACTGAAATGCTCTCCCCCTGTTCCGGTAGGTTGGGAAAAACTGACAGACCAGAGCCTGGTTTCTGTCAGACTGGACAGCTGAACAACACCAGAGATTGGGTTTTGATGAATGGCAACTCTGTCTTGTTAGATAAGGCAGGCTCATTTCAAGTTTAGAATCCAGTACACAGGCAAAATTCATTCCTACTTCTCCACTGACATGGAACTGGTTGAGCTGGTTTTGTGTAACCTTTAGTTCATCTTTAGCTCTCTCCTCCTTTCCTGAAAACAAAACTGTTTGCTCAGCACAGACACTGCTGTCAGCATATGAAATGTGTGTGAAATTACAGCATAAAAACCTGGAAAGTAGCTGTGCAGGGTCCTTCCTTCCTCCTATTTCTAATGGCTGGAGGGTTTCTGGATTTATAAGTAGCTGTCTCTCTCCGGGTTTTCTTTGGGAAGAAGGGGTTATTCCTGCTGTCAACTGCCAGCTCATTGCACTGTTGTAGTCTCACATGCCAGGCCCTGCCCCAGAAGGGCTCCTGGCACTGGATGCCAGCACTGCCAGCCAGCTCAGATCTCTGGCACAGGGGCAGTCGTGGCTCTGTGTTTCACATTTCTTCCTTAAGTGGTGCCAAGGTACAGAGGCTCTTATTTTTGAATTTCAGGTAAAGTGGAACAATTCAGAGGTTACACTGAGGTCCCAATATAAATCTGTTTTTAGGAGTTAAGCTACATGACCCTGAACACAGTTACTGGTAAGCACAGGCTGTGTCCAGGTAGGAGCTGTTCACTGGGGCTGGAGCAGCATCTCTGCACCACTCAGGGGGTGTAATCCTTGAGGGAAAAGGAGCTGCAGCTTTTATCATTGTACCCTCAGGTTTGGACATACCTTTCACTTCCACTCAGACTCTCACCCAAGGATGGCTTTACTGCAGCACCTCCCCAGCCTTCAGCTGCACAGAGCACTGCTCATATGCAGCACTGACACAAGCTCATGCTGGCATGAGACTGACCCACTGCAGCTGCAGGGGAGAAAATGGGATTCTGTCACCTTTTTCCTGTGTCATTTAAAGCAGGAGAGTCTGAAAACAGCTGCTCATGCTACGCAGTGTGTGGGGCATCAGTATAATAGTGCCAATGTCTGACACTATCTGAAAGACCTGAAATTATCTGTAAAACTCAGAACATATTCTTCTTAGAGCTCAATTTAAATTAGACAAGAGCAAGCCGTGGTTTCACCTCCAATAGCAGCATATAAGGTACAGAGACAATAAAAACCAGCATGGCAGGTGAGTTAAGTAAGCCCAACTATCATGTAAAACTCCAGGTTGCTTACCTTAACCCTTTGCACTTTGTCTCAGAAGCTTTAGGTAGATACAAGGTGATCACACAACTTCTGGAGGCAGCATGGTGTTCCTAGTCCATGCATTAGTACTTAAATGTTCTGCAGTGCCAAGGCAGTTCCACAGATCAGCCACTGCATGGTTGTATTTTCAGTGGATTAATGCTAAAGTGTTGTATAGGTTTTACCAGAGCATTCCCTCCTTTAGTAGGGATGAGGGAGACTAGCACAGGCTCCAAGACAATTCTCTTGTTAGTAATTAGGCTTTCTATGTTAGTGCAATACATCAGGAAACCTTTAATTCTGTGCTTTTTCAATTCTAAGGAAGTAGACTTTTCATATTAATTTGATCTGTCCTCTAGTTCCAAGGTATGGCACGTTACCTGTTCTGTCACATTAAATACATTCATTAAGGTTATCTAGCAAACACTTGGCTTAGTGCTATCCCAGGTCTCTGAGAAGGCATTACCCATTAGAAATAATTTCATAAAGCAAAAACATTCACAGCTGAAAAATGCACTGAACACAATAGAAAAGAAAAAAAAATCACCATAACTGTATTCCAATAATCTTTCTCTTCCTCATGTGTTTGAATAAAAATAACCTTAAGGGAATGGTTACACTTTATGGAGAACTAATGTGCAGTCTTCATTCTCCTTGAAGAGGTTGGACATAACTGGGTCCTCTTTGGCCTGTACATTCTTCAGGTAATAGTTGACTATTTCACCATCGAGTTTGTACTGGTGGGGGATGCTTTCATAGGGCTTCAGGTCCAGGTCCAGCACAGAAACAGAGAAGGTAAATCTGGATTTGGATGTCAGTACCACAGGTCTTTGCTCAGAGCTGGAAAATAAAACCACATTGCACATCTGAGTCACTGAAACCAGTATTTTTAATTTATGTGTCCCTTTACAGAAGTGACTCTAATGTTTATCTTAGAACTTCTGTGGGAGCCCAAGAAAATAAACTGCAGCTAATGTAGCACTTAGGAAACTACAGCTCCAGCTTTACCAGTCCTGATGGGACCTTGCTGGCACCTCTTCCAGTCATTTTCCTTTCAGCTTCCACACAGCTGAAGTCAAACATTACTCTCACTTACTGTATTTAGTAAATCTAAGCTAGGTTTCTAGGTGGTGCATACAAAGCAACAGCCTTATTAACCAGCAAAAGCAGAAAAGAGACTGCAACTCCTACTTAAGTTCACGGTAATAAAACATTTAGTATGCTGTCCAAGCATGCTGAGGGATGGAGGAGTTCTGAAGTCAGCCATTGCACAAGTCATGTCCATCACTCACACTTCACTGGAGGACTGCAGGATAAATGCAGAAAGCAGCATTCTCTAAAAATAAAAGGGCTCTGGTGAAGCAAAGCCCCCTGCAGAAGAAGAGATTAGCACTGCTGACACAAGCCAAAAGGGATAATATTGTGAGGCAAAGCCTCCTGCCTGACAGCCAAAGCTGTCACCTCTTGATCATTGCCTTGGTTTTACTCTAACTAGGCCATTAAAGGCAACTTAGCCTTAAAACTCTCTCCTATGAGAACACCAAGGCAGAAAAATTGTACCTAGTTAAAATCATCCAGAGCTACTATGAACAATCAATTCGAAGTTTAAGAAGGAAATAAATATAAAACTTTGATCCTCTTGGTCAACTTAAAACTCTTCAGGAGTTGGTTGCAAATTACTTAAAACAGAACTTACTAAAATGTTCACAGCCAAATATTTGGGCACACCACCCCCCACACATCCCACACTTTAATGTGATTGAATTGCCTGAACAGTACAAACATCCCAATTTCCAAACAACTGCAGCCATTCCAAAGCAGGAACAGGCAGCTCTTACCATTCATCTTGCAGGCAGGGGGAAAGGGCAATCATGATGGAGCAGTCTTTAGCAGTCATTGCTATTCTGTACTGCTGCACCTATACAACAGAAAACAACACACATTTTCTCTTAGATTGGTGTTTACCTGAGTAAAACATCCTGTTCCTTACAAAAAGCAGCACTGCTCTCCCTGTATTGGTATGTTGGCACTTTAAGAGCTGGAAATTCTCTCTGTAACAGAAGGTTGGCAGGAACAGGTGCTTTTGCAGCATCCTGTGTAAGAATCATGTTTATTTCCTACAGATCAAATTCCTGACAACAGTTCCTGCAAATGCTTCCTCAGTCTAGAAAGCAAATAAACAGTTTCATTTTTCTCTCAAGAACTGGTGCTACAAGCTTGTTTTTAACTGCTTCTGCTATAAAGGTGCACCCTGACACAATGAAGAACTGCACAGACCCCGACAAGCCAGCAGTGCTGCCCCCATCCATTATCTAGTCCTTTCAGTGAGACAGAGGTTAATTAACACTGACAGAACAACCAACCTCCAGAGGCTGAGCAGTACCTTTGTTAATGCAAATGCCACTGTCCCATCATCTTCCAGGGAAAGGTCCAGCAGCTTCTCGTAAAACACTTCATTGTAAGGTCCATCTATCTGTAATGTACTTCTAAATAAATGTAAAAAGAAGATTTACAGACAGCCAAAATGATGTGCTGGTTTTCAGTGTGATCTTTCCTCAGCAGCCCAGACACACAGATGAGAACAATCTAACAATAACATTGATAAACATGTCCAAGTATTAACCCACTGCCAACCAACCTCCCAACAAGTCCCTGTTATTCTCAAATCACTCAAGATTTGCTGTTTCTTAGGATCTGAGTTGTGTGGGGTTTTATAAACATGAATCATTCTTAATCCACTGCCATCTCTGTATCACTGCAAAAATTATGTGGTTTTTGCAAAAAATAAGTAAGTTTCAAAATTTGTAGCAGTCTGCAGGAGCGCCAGAAGCCTTCCTGAAAATACATATACAAAAATATATAATATTATATTGATGTCTATTTTTATATATCTTATTTTGTACATAAGAAGTATAAACTGGGGGCAAAGACATATCTGGCAGGGCCCTGCTCCAACACCGTGTGCTAATGGGGGGGTGTCCTGGGCTCCTTCCTTCCCCCTTTAAACAGCTGAGCCCCTGCTGAGAGCTGAGCCCCCCCAGTGGGGTTTGTCCCACACAAACCCTCCCCAGATCAAAGAACACATTTTCCAGTGCTCTGTTTCCTGTGTAACTGCACAAGCAGCAGCAGCTCCTGAGTGAAGCCAGAGTGCCCTCGTGTGAGCACAGGGGAGGAACAGCACCCCAGTGGAGGCTGCTTGGAGCAATTGTTATTACACTAATAAGCCTTATTTGAGAAAAAAAAACACAGCAGCTTGCATTGATCACTGCAGAACATCATTATCCCTGCAGACATTCCCAGCTCTGCAAGTACTGGGGACAGGAGAAACCACCCATTTCACTGTACCTTTCTGCAGTACTCAACCACCAGTGTTAAGAGAGTGTTCCTCTCTCTTAGCCTGTTGTGAACTTTCCATGTCATTACTTAAAAATTCAGGCCAAAGTGACTAACATCAGCTGGAAGATCAGTTAGAAATTCAGAATATGCACTGCCATGAAGGAAGGTTGTACAACAGAACAGAGTGTGTGCACAGAGCCCATCCTGCCTGCAGTCCTGGTTACTCAGGACTGGAAAGAAAACCATCAAGTCTTACCTCTCTTCAGGAAATTCCTCCAAGTACTGTTCAACTCTACTGTACAAAGGATAGAGTCCTTCAATATCCAGCATGTCAAGCATCTGAGCCTGAAGGGTTTTATAAAGGAGACAACCCCTCGGTAAACCAGAGCTTTCCAATTTATGTTTACCTAGAAGAAAATGCATTCTAAAATAAGGCAGAGACAAGTCTTAGCTTCAATTTGCCTTAATTATACGTGCTTGTTTAAAAATCCAAATACTTTTAGTCCAGTCACAGGTAGGGGGAAACCTCAAAACACTTCAGTTTCCAAACAAAAGTGCAGGGTGCAGGTACTGACCTGCACATTTAAACAGCTCATCTTGGACTGCAGAATAAAACACCTGGTATTCAACTCTACAAACTACCTAAAAAAAAAACAAACACCAAAACACACCCACATCCACTGCAATCTACTCATTTTGAGTTCACAGGAGAAATTTCTCATCTGAGTTTGAAGCCACCACAAATTCATTTTGAACAATATCAACTGCTGACAGAAAGTAACTTAGCATTTCAGCTCTGGTGTCTTTTTTATACAATATCAAGAATTGTATTTGCTATAACCTCTCTAAGACAGCTCTTTCTCCAGCACTAGAAGAAATCATGGGCAGTGAAAAAGGTCTTCCTCAAAAACAGTAAGAAATGTGCTGTAATTAGGATAACTGGCAGCATCTTGAATAATTAAAGCTTTACAGAACTGATGCACTGAGGAACTAACACCATTTACAGTTTTCCAACTCTTTTCCCTCTGGTACTCAGACCTCTCTTTACCAGGAGAAAGAAAAGAACGAGCTGTGCCCTGGTGAGGGCTGACAGGAGCAGCAGGGAAAGGCAAAGTACAGGTACTGTACTAAACCAACCAAAACAGCCCAACTTCATCACATACAACATAAAAATTCCCCACTCATTTGGAATTCCTATGATTGTTATCAGCTCAAACTGCTATTTTTTTCCATTTTTCCTCTACCACCTCCTGAATTTATTTTTACCCCTGTCATTAGATACAGTGCTGTAAGTGCTCACTACAACATCACATTATATTAACAACAATTATCTGGCAGCTACACAGTTCAGAACTCTTTTTAAATGCCACCAGAATTCCTGTTTCCATTCTCACATCAGTATTTAGAACCAAGAGACAAAGATCTGAATTGTTACATCAGACAAGGCTCTGAGAAACCTGCCCATGGCGGGGGGCTGGACTAGGTGGCCTGTAAAGATCTCTTCCAACCCACACCATTCTGGGATTCCATGAACAGTAAATTCTGGACAGTTCTTACAGTATTATCCCTTACCATTTCTTACTAGCTCCTTATTAAAAGCACTTGCTTCACAGTAGCTTCTCCCTTGTGAAATGGGAACTGTCTTCATGTCGCCTGCCCTGCAGGTGTCAGTGCTACTCAGTAGCGCCATGGTTATCACGTGGATTAATTCCTTAACAATTGTCCTTGTGCAGTGGGGGCCGCTGACCAGCCCGTTGGAAGGGAAAAAGAAAGGTTTTAAGTGACGAGCAAGTTCGTTCCAGTCAGAGACACAGTCCTGGTCATCCTTACAGCCATAAATTAGTTCCCCATTCTGCAAAAAGGAGAAAAAGAAATCTTTAGGCACATCAGGAAGTCAAGTTATTCATATTGAGCTACTCAGAGAATCGGGTTTAATATTTTAAGCATAGAAAAGTGTTATTACCTTAACAATCAGACACACAACATTCCCAATCTCTTAAAGATTTGTCCTCTTAAGTCTAATCAGAATCTGCAGGTAAAAACCTCTGAATGAAAACCAAAACCACTGTTTAAATCAAGTGCTACTTTCCCAACTTAATGACCTGTAAGGAACCAGAACAATAGGGGTGAATGATACTTGGCACATTTTCCTATTGCTTCTTTCTGGATAATGTCAGGAGTGAAAAAGCAGAGTGTGAAACATCCTTCTTTTACCAGCCCAGAACGGCAAAGGGAAGGCTGTGAAAGGGAACAGAAAAGGTGTGACAGCTACCTGGACTAGTACAAAAAGAGGGCAGCTCATAGAAGTTTAAGTAATTCAAATAGTTGATTTAATATTGGAAATAAATTGAAAGAATCTTGTTTCCTAGAATTAATCTGAAAATCTCCACAAATAATCAGTTATTGCTTTATATTTTTCCTACATGAGTGTCATGGAATTCCATTTTTTCCTTTCTCAGTGAGGCCTGCTGTGCTTTGGGCCTGTGTCAGTGCTCTAATAGGAATCTAAAACAAAGTATTTGCAGCCACATGCCAAGTTCTCCATTTTCTTCTTCCTGAAGCAGCACATAAAGTTTTAAAACTTTGGTCATTTATGATTCCTTTTCCATTAATTGTTCCTCTGTGATTCTCTCCCACTAATTCATTCCCCAGGGAATGGTCACAGCCCCAAGGCTGCCAGAGCTTCAGGAGCATTTGGAAAATGCTCTCAGCCACAGGGTGGGATTGTTGAGGTGCCAGTGCAGGGCCAGGACTTTGACAATCCCCATGGGTCCTTCTAATTCAGGATATTGAGTCTGTGAATTCTGGGAAATTATTATTTCTCTGTCCTCACCTAAGAAATCTAACTAAGAACTTTCCCATTTCCTTCTCTTGATGGGGTCCAACAGTGCTGGTCTGATTAGGTAGGTTTGAAGGAAGATCGTGACTGTTTAGATGCTCAAGTCAAATTATTTAAAATCCAAGGCAAAAAAAGCAAGCAGAGATTGAACTGTTTACCTTAAATATTTTCAAGTTGTTCTGTGCCTCCTGTAATAAGCTCTTCAAAGCAAAGTGCATTCTTTGTTTATTTCTAGGGAAAACAAAATAAAGCCAAGAATGTTTCATCAAAGCCTTTGGATGTTCACACCTGGTGTGAGCATGTGCACTGAGCACATTACTCACACTGTGAGATCACTGCAAAGGCAAAGTGAACTTCAGCTCTGAGTACACTAAATAGCTCTTGGGTGCAATGCTATGCTGCAAAAGGCAGCTCTGATTGCTGAGATAGGTGTGAAGGGGGAGATAGCACCAGATATAATCACTGTAAAGGTCCAGACAAGCCAGCATTGATCATCCATAATACTTCAGTGAAAGGTAAAGTAATCCAAGCAAGAAATCTGTAATGCAGATTTTTTTTTTGGGAGAGGTGTGGGCAAAACCACAGAATCCTTACCCTGAGAAGAGATCCAATGGGCAGTATTTACTTGGTCGCTTCCATTTTCCATTGGCTACCTGTGGAAAACCCAGAGCACTGCTGTTACCCACTCTACCTGCAACTGCTGCTCTCCCTTTTAACAGCCAGGTCTGTGGCTCTGACATCCTGCCCTCAGAGGTCAGGACATTTAAACCACTTTGAACACAAAATTCATGACCACCGTGGGTGTTCCCAGCCATTTTTAACTCAAGTCACTCAAACTGCATTCAGAAGGGAGAAAGGTCACATTAAATCCCAGGGAGTCACAGTCACACCATTGCAGAGTCACAGCATACACGAGTCCATGAGCTCCATGCCTGTTACATGCTGTTTGTTGTAAGTCACAGAATGCACTTGTGAGCTGATCTGGGAAGGAAGTTCCACATCAGAGTTGACCCTGTCACAGCATTCATAGTCCCCAAAGGCTGATATTGTATTTGTTTGCTTCCAGCTTCCCACAGAACTTGTTCCATTTCTTACTAAACAAATTCACACCCAGAGACTCAGCTGTGTACCCTCCTACCAGCTTTAGTCATATCAGAGATTTGAGCAAGTTTCAACAGGAAAGCAAGCCTGGAACAGCAAATAAAGCACAGTACAGCCAAAGGAAAGCAGGGTGACTTAATAATTACCTTTAGATGCTGATGCATACAGTAACGACACACCTTGTGCTTTATCTCCTGTGAAACATGGCTGGAAAAAGGAATGAAGCCACACTTTGGCTAGAACAAACAAAAGAAAATCGTAAATACAAATGTCTCTCTCTGTAGAAATATAAATGCACATAATATGCAATTCTTTCCAGTTAAAGGAATGTTTTTAAAGTTTTTTTTTTTTTAATTAATCGTTTAAAAGCTGAATTATTCTCTATTATTTTAAAAGATAAAGACCCGTGGCCTACAGAAAAGCATAGTAACACCTGGGAGTTCCCAAGTTTCAAAAGATTGGGAACTGGAAGAGGGAGGGGCTGTTTCCTCCTAAGGGTCACAGTGAAAGCAGTGAGCTCCGCCTTCCCCCACTGCTGCATTCCTTGAGAACTGCTGGGGCAGGGGCAGTTAAAGAATGCAAACAAACCCCTTTGCCCTGAGGCTCTGTCCCCTGCCCACCTTGATCTCGATGCAGAGGATGGGCCGGTGCTCAGCGAAGCGGAAGGGCTGCAGCCGCGTCAGGTTGGGAAGGCACATCGCGTAACCGCTCAGCGTGTCCATGTCCTTGTCACAGCGACACTCTGGGACAGCAGGGGACAAACAGCACCAACAGGGAAATTAGCTCTGGGGTGTTTGTTCATTCTGGAGCCGTCTCCCTCACCAGGTGGGGCGTGGGAACAAGCGTGGAAGGACAGGACACGCGGTTTAGCCAATTAAGCACTTGCACAGAGTTGCCCTCCCCATTATTAACGCCTGGTTTCAGTTTCCTCAAAACTGTCCCAGGCACAGGAGTATCCCAAGAGCTGCTGTTAATGGCCAGCTCCCAGCTCATCCCAAGAAAGGTGAGGCCTGAAACAGCAAGGAAATGGATTGGCCAACAACAGGTAAAGCGACTCAATGTATTTATTCACAGATGTGATCTCCCCGTTGCTTACTATGCATGACCTACCATCCCTCAGCTGAGTCAAAAGGATTGGAAAACTGGCAGGAATATCATAAACTTAAGAGGCATTCTGCATAAAAATCCTTTGAATAACCTCTTTCCACGTGCATCCTTTGGGGGACAGGTCTGTGAGATTGTAGTTCAAAGTTAACAAGCACACACCCCCAGATTTGCAAGTACCTGTTACTAAACAGACACAGAGGACACGTTTCTGTTACAGTTTCCACTGCTGAGAAAAATGCCCACTCTGAAAAATATATTGCAATAGACAAAATAAATCTGAGAAACCAAAGGCTCAGGCACCAGCCTGTCATGCCATACTGCCTCACCAGGATGAGCAAGAAGCCTTCTGTCTCCAACAAAATGTTGAGGTTTGTTTTCTTTTTCCAAATTTAAGCAAAAGTACATCCTTCACACCTTCACAGCTGAAAGCCACTTGCCAAATCAGAAAGGCACAGAAATCTGAAGTATTGGAGAAGCTCCTTTGCATGTTACACAGGCTTATGAGAAGGGTAACATTGAAAAAAAATCCTTGAGGTTTAAAAAAAATTCCTGTTGAAAATGAACAGTGAGATTCACTGTTGTGAAGCACCTGGACACTTCCCCACAACCACATTTCAATCTCCAGCAGCTGTGGACACACAAAGTTTAACTTTGAGAAATAAAACTAAATTCTATCATTCACTTCCACCAGAGTATCGCTGATTTTCTAACTTTTATTAGATCCTATTAACTGGATCTCGGAACTGCTTCTCAAACAGTGAGGAAAAATCAAAAACAGTGTCCTATGCTCACTATATGTAAATTAATTCCTTTTTTTCCTGGATCAAAAGCATCACAGCACTTGACTATGGTCCTTTGATTTAACTCTGCATTTATCTTCAAGGAGTTTTGCTAAAGCAGGAGTTTCTGGCCATTCTCAGGAACATAAGACACCACGAGGGCCAATCTCTTTGCCTTTTTTAGAGCTATCACACACTACTTCTAATTCCAGAACACAATCCATTTTTTCCACAACAAATTTTCAACTTATCATTGTCTAAATATTAAAAATAATTTTCTTATATTCTGTAGTGTGATGCTTTTTTTTTTACTTTAGAACAAAGGAAAATGCTTTAAAGCTTGAGGAAGCCCCTTTTAATCCCATCCCTGGCACTTACCTGGCCTCTCTGGCTGGATTTTCAAACAGAGCTGTCTTACAAAGTCTAAAGGCAGTTGAATAATTTCCTATTGAGGGAAAAATAAAGAAAACATTTTAATGCAAAAATTAATACCCAGCTTGGGAGTCTTGAAATGGAACAGCAAAGTTCAGTGGGTTACACAAAGTACACTGAAGTATGCAGTCAGCAGCTTCTCCCTCTGAATCACTGTCTGTGAACACCTGTACCTGCCATCACAGGCAACACCTGTTCTTCTATAAAAACCAAGGACTAATTTAAATAAATGCATCACAAAGAGCATTTTCAGTGCAAGTTTAATGTGTGTGAAGGAACCTGCATCATTTTGTCCTTTCCACAAATGAAAAAGTCCCATGTCTCATCCCACCCTTCTGAGGCAGAACTGTGTAACTCAAGTTCCAGGTGAAGCTGTAACTTTTTCACTTATCTTGTTCACTTACCACATCAGATAAGTGAACAAGATCTGGCTGCCCTGAAGAGCAAAGGAAGGGAAAAGATGATCTCTGACTGCATAGAAACCTCAACGATTTATATGAACCAGGTTTCTCCCCTTGTTTTGCAGTTAGTCTAAAAATCTCTCTCACACACCCCCCTCTTGCCTTAGGTAGAGCAAAGAAATGACCACACTTCTCATCAGTAGCTTGAAATAGCCAAACCACTGAGTACAATCAGCACAGAGCAGGATCCAAATGCATCCAAATGCTTCTTGTGTGTATCTTGCAAAACCCTGTTAGTTCCTCAGTGTTTCCCCCAAACACTTCACTGTTTACAATGCCTAATGGCTACAATTCATTTTAAGAACAAATCATTTACCCCATGGTGAACGTAGTTCTCCCCAAAGAACTGCTTCATCACATGTTTTCCAAAGTCTACAATGTTTTGCAGATGGTGTAGTATTTCCTCTGGAGTCTGGAAGACAGAAATGTAGTAATTGAACTCAGAAATGATGGTAACACTCCAGAACACACACATCCTGGTCAGTTATTTAACAAATAACTTAATTGCTGAGCTTGGCAGGTCAGTGTACACTGAAGTCAAACAGACACCTCAAGAGTGCTAAATTTGTTTCTCTACTGCCACCTTAGGGGCTGAGACAAACAGAAAAATGGTCAGAAAATATTATTCTTCTTCAGTTTCAGAGGAAAAAGCAGAAAGTGACAAAGGTGGAAGAAAGGGAGATTGCTCGAGACTTACTCTGACCATTATTCTTAAAACAGTTCAGAGATCTCCAGCAGTCAAAAGAGGTGCCCAAGAGCTGCAGTGCAGAAGAGACTTGGAGTGTTACAAAACACATCATGGAGATTAGGAAGAGAATGCCTGCAAAGACTGAGCCATATTCCAAACCTCGGCATGAACAGGTACAGAACTTGCCACCTGTCCCAAATTCTGCCTCTAACAGTGAAAAATCTTACTCTAATGTGATATTCTGTAATTTCATAAAGAAACACCAAGGTCTTCTACAAGACAAGATGGCAAGAGCTAGAAAGGAAGCTCCATGAGTACTGGAAGCAGGACAGGGACAACTGCTCAGCCAGACTTGGACACACTCCTGCTCATGGAGGGAGCAAAGGAGCAATATCCCATTCCCAGCACTCCAGCACACTCTGCTTCTCTGCAACGTATTTTACTGTTGCAATAGACAACCTCAAAGCTACTGTGTCCTTTATGTAACACACAAAATCCCTCTTAAAACCTCACAATAAAATTAAGTGGAAGAAAAGAAAGTGAAACACCTGGGTACATGTTAGCAAATCAAAGAGGAAAAACAAGAGCAGAGTAAGAGGAAATAAATGCTAGAGGACAACACCCAGACACCGACATAGCCTAGAGAAAGGAGGAAAGACCACATCCAGCACTAATCACAAATAACAACACAGCCCCTTCTTTAACTTATACAAATCCTGAATGGTGAGAAGGAACATTACATCATCTCATCAGTAACAGAAATCTCAGCTATTTCCCATTTACAGATGGTTCTGACCTGGTTTGCTGATGTACACAGCACCCACAGGTTTGTGTTTTGTTTGGGTGGGGTTTTTTAACATACATACACAGACTCACAGACTGAGAAATAAGCATTTCATAAAAATTTACTCCTGCCACTTTCACTACATGGAAAGATTCACCAGTTAAAAAGGCCAATACAGCTGTAAAATTATAAATCAAGCTTAAAACATCTTTTAAGAGCAAGTATATTTGATATATCTACGTGAAACAAAAACCAGGCTACTTGAGGATCACCTTTTAATATCAAAAACCACTAAGATTAAAAGCTTTTGAAGGACACATCATTACTGCCAGCTCATTCACAAAAACTCAAATAGGCTTTATAAAATAATTTTTTTTAATTCTTTCATAAAAAAGATCATATAATAAAATAGCAATATGCAATTAAAAGCACTCCATGAGGCCTGACACTTGACTTTCTATTCAAGCAATGCAAGCACTGCACTTACATTATTGAGTATTTTTCAATCATAACAATAAGGTTAGAATTCACAATAATACCACCTTGTTCAACTACTGGATTATCTAATCCCAAATTCATAATTAAACAGACAATTAAAAATACAAAGCAGCATCCAGACTTCAACTTTCCCAAAGGAGTTAAGCAGAAGAGACTCAGACCTATTTGTTCACATCTCAATTTCAGTGTGTGTATTACTAGAAAATATTTTGCTTGAACTGATTCCTTCAGCATTGTTTACCTTGGATGACCTGTGATGTCATACACAGACCCAGAACACTTCAGACTAACTCATTTTGCTTAAGTCAGGAATACAGATTACTCAAAAAAAACCCCAAAAAACCCCCATTTTCCTTGTCATTGTTGCTATGTGCAAGTTTCTCTGATTCTCTGGGATTTGTTTACTGATCTGATGATAAAATATTTATTCTGTTCTGCTCCAAGAAAAAAATGGTCCTTAAAAAAAAAAAAAAAAAATCAATCACCAGAATAAGTAAATATATTCAAATTACAAAACCTTCTATTTAGAGGGAATTGTGTATCACAAAGTCCACACACTCCCAATGCAAGGCAAATGCAGGACACTGGAGCCAGCTCTCCTCAAAATGCAACACTGGAACGTGCATGGCCAGCCTCATTGCTGTGGTGGGTAACTGAAAAGTCACTTCCTGCCTTCTTTTGTGACTTTCTCAGACTTTGTTGCATAGTAATTGTTTTTTAAAAATTGGCAATCTCTTCGAACTTAAAAACAAAAAATAAAAAGGAAAAGAGGCTCAGAACTCAGTGTTCTGTTTTCTTAAATAAACTGCAACAGACTGACTTTTTACATAAAGTTGTGGTCTAGTCCTCTCCTGCTATAATAAAAATTGAGATAAGCTCTGTTTCCTTTCTTGGGATCCACTGGACTCATCACTGTTCTTGTTAACACTAAACATTATTATCTTGGGCTACTACAGAAGCACAAGATACATTTTTGAAATCCTGCTGATATAAGCAGCTCAAAAACCAACTTGAATCATACTTTGGTTTTACCAGACCTTTTTTCAAGTTAAATAGTAGCAGAAAGACCATCAAGTAACTCATACATATGCTGTGTTCACTAATTTTGCCTTCCTCTACCTTAGCAACTTCTCCCTTATTAAACTGAATGTTTTTCACATTCATCTTTGGAATTTAAAACAATAAAATGCCCTTTCTAGACGTTTACTTCACATTCAGCCTTGTTTCTTTTTTCCTAAAATTAAGCACACACACACCAGTTCTCAGTAGAGCACGAATGTTTTTTATATTCCCCCCATCAGAACAACCTGTCACTGTGCCTCACAAAGCCGTGGTTCAGGAGCTGCTGTAACTCAAGCCATTCCTTGTATCTCTCAGGTAACACACCCCAAAGACTCCTCTCAAGGTTGAGGAAATGAAAGAATTTGAATCTTGTGCTCTCTTTTCTTATTTTTCTTCCTTGGAACACTGTGTTTATGCTCCACCTTTGGTTTTTGATCATTTTTTATTCCTGTTAAAAAAAATCTGAAGTAACTCACTTCAGCTCCTTCTCAAGCAGGAAAAACCTTATTGTACCATTGAAGAAACTGGGAGATTGTGTCCTGCCATGTTTGCTTTTTAACACACAGGACACTAAAATCACTCATTGACAAAGGCTATTGTGTGTCTGTGAACATTTCATGTTTTTCTTCAGATTCCATTGCTTTTTAGCTGCTGAACAGCTGCTCAACAGCAGACCTTGACCATGACACCAGTTCTGCGTGGCTCCTGTTCTGTCCCACCTGGCTACAGCCAGGAAAATTCCTTTCTTCCTCAGCATCCCTGAGCTGTGCCACATTTACACTGTGCCACAGGTGCCCTTACAGAAAGCTCTGCCCTCTGACACTTGGCAGCCTTTCACCCTGCCCCACACAGAGCTCTTGGTATCAGCACTCACATCACCCCAGTTACATAAGACAACCTCAGATTTCCTCCTGTTGCAAAAGCCCCTGAAATACCGGCACATTTCAAAACATCCATTTGTTCTTACTCCTGCCAGTCACAGCTCTTTCACAGGTGTCTTGTTTCTCCTCATGCTGGCTATTAGTTTACCCAAGGGCATTCAGCAACAGGACATGTCTAAATCTTACCTTATTCTGGTTGGGGGGGGACTTCAGAAACCGCAGCACCACACAGCGCTGGAGGAAAATGGGAAAGAACAAAGTTTCATTAGCATTCATCAACAGCACCATTGTCTGATTCCCCCATCTACCTCTCTGAGAAATAAGGGGAGGGGAGTGGAAAAAAAACAAACCAGGAAAGCACACTTTAGATGGTTATTTCACTCAACTTCAAATCCACCAGCTGAAATCAAACACAGCAATGTCTGCTGCCAGCTCTGCCATCAGTTTAACGAGGGAGCCACTCTGGCCACTGCATTTCCAGTCACCAAGTGCACCAGGGAAATGCTCCCTTGGCTTACAGCACTGCTCTGAAAGTCTGGGAAAGCTCATATGGAACCAAAAACACCCCCACCCTGGCATTTGTGCACCAAAGCTCCCCAAAAGAGACACAAGGCCCACTCCACTTACACAATCAGCACAGCATTACAAATTACTAAGGAAACATTTACAGTTACCAGCAGCAGCTACACAGCTGAACTTAACACTAAACTAAAGCCTGCTACTTATAAACTCCTGCAGAATGCATACATAACACAGGAACAAATATAGCAGGCTTCCAAATATTTTACCTTAAAAACATAGAAAAACTCACTATTTTTGTAACTTTTATTATTTTTATCAGTTTTGTAACAATTCAAAAAGCTTGAGACTTTATATATTAAAATTAAAGTCTGACATGGTGTTAAGGAACCTGCAGCCTTAAAAGGCAACACCTCGGTCTGCCTCTGGTCCTCCAGAATATCTGATCCCAGAGATATTTACTTCCACTGATGTAGCTCAGCTTATTCAGGTACAATGGGGATATCAACAACTGGGCACCACAGAAGGTAGAGGCTCTGTTTTCCAGAGCTCTCTTAGCCAGTCTGCCTCCATCTGGGTCTTTCCAAGACACACCAAAAAGGATCATATTCCATTTAAAGCACTACCACAGAAGTATGCTCAGATTCTCTGACAAAGAAAATGCAAACAAAATGTCCTAGTTGCACTTCAGGTTTATGAAATCCAAGCTTTTCCCCTTCCAAATTATTTGCCTTTAAATAATTTCATATAGCATGACAGCACCAGTTCTATTCCATGTTTCAGAGCCAAAAGCTGTTTCTGCACAGGATGAGGGAGAGAGTTGCAGATATCTTTAATTACTAACATGAAGAGAAAGAGGAAACAAGAAAAACTAATGACAATGTGCCATCCAAAACAATAACAAAACTAGGTCCAAGTCCAGACATTGCCACTGAAACCCAGACAAGGCCCCTAAAAGGTCTCACGTCACCATAAATCTCCTTGTTCACCCACATCTGGAAAACACTCTCACATAAAAGAGTACTTTGCTGTTAATTTGATTTGTCCTGCAAGATGAGTGTCCCAACAGAAGAGGAGATAGCACCAGAGTGGTAATTACAGCTGCCTGGATTTGACAGGACTCCTGGTGACACTCCCTCTCATTATACCCCACACATGGGTAACAGAGCCCAGGCCTGATGAGCCTGCAGCTCTGGGTGCAATGTGTTATTCTTACAGGGTTTCAACCATTTGGATCTCCTGCTTTAATTATTCATGAGTAAGTGGATCAGTGATGGAGTGATCTGATTATCACTTCTAATCCATTCAGAAACATGATTCTGTAATCTTTCAAGGCTAGTGTAGATACCTATCTTTTAATCAGCTCCCTGCCAAGATTCCAACCAGTGCTCTGGAAAACCTGATTTGCTCTCGCAGGACTCAGGACAGTATTTGTTCATCAGCAAGTCATTTCTGATTTGGCAAAATGACCAAATTTACATATAGCAAAAGAAGAATGTGTTGCTGGTCTAAAGATGTCAAAAGGAAACACAGCACTGTTCAAACTAAACTTTCCAGATGCACTTAAACCAGCCAGCCCACACTACATTTTAGTGAGACTATTAGATGATTAGAGGAAATTAAAAAAAAATTAAAAAATCAACAGACAAACAAAAACCCACCCCAAAACCAAACCTCAAAAAAAAACCCCTCAAAACACTTCTTTCCTATTTTGAGGCAAATTTCCAGCTAGAAGCTGGATCCATGTCTTTGTGCATTTCAATACCAGTTCCACAGCACCAAGGTTAACCCATCAGATATCACAGATGCCAACTGCTTCAGAAGTATCACCACCAAAAATATTGGCCCACATTTTTCATGCTATTTCATTTCTGATTCACTTAGCTGATTCTTTACTTGGAAATATTGTGGGTGGTTGTTGCCACGAGGTTTTTTGTCAGTTATCTTAAAATGCCTTCATTTTTTTTTTATATTTACAGATTGAACTCCAAGTATGTGCCATACCTATCTGTATGCACGAGAATGGCCCAAATCCCAAAGGGAACAGATCTCTGAAAAGGTTGTCAGTACTCCTTAACACTTTGAGAATCAAATCAACTAGACCCTAAATTTCCCTAATGCTCCCTAAATTTCCTTCTCCACAACCAGTGGAAGTGCTTACAGAAGTGCAGAGCACCAGTTGCATCAAGGCACTGTCACCATCAGAGTATTTAGTTAGCTGGGTAACAGTCCCAGAGATATAAAAAGATGAAAAAAGCAGGCTGCAAGCAGAAGGGAAAAAAAGAAACAGTTCATGGATGTAGGCAAAAGTAACATATAAAACATTAAAAGGCTTCATATCTTTTGATATAAGATAAGCTAGAAAAATAATGAATTCAAAGGAAGAATTCTCTACAACTTTTTTAAATCTCTGCATATATTCGGTCTCCATTTAGTGACAAAAGACTAAAAATAACCAACCCATCAGAACATCACACACGACTGCTCTTACTCTCAAATAAGGAATTTAAGGACAACTCTCACAGGAGAGCAGAGCAGCTTGATGGCAGATAACAACGTTCTTCGAGGCTCCAGGACCATACTAGGGCTACAACAACAACCATTTCCAATTGTTATGGAAAACTGAAAACAAACACTAGCAACAAGGATACCAAAACTTGCGGCTCTGAAAACACATCCACAAGCGCTGGGAGGGTGATGTAACCAGAAGTGTTCAGGAGGAGCTCGATCCCAACTCACAGAGTTTGGAGCCTGCAGTTTACAGCCCCACCAAGAAAGGCAAACACTTCTTTAGCACCCCATCAGCAAACAATTGTTTGGGTTAGAGCAGAACAAAGTTAAGGATTGCCAATAGAGAAGGAGCTGTGGGAGGAGCTGTGAAAACACTCAAAATCGGTGACATCACAGAACCAGCAGGATGTGCACACCCACAGCTCTTGTCCTCGTGTGTCCTGGGAAAAAACAGTGTCGTTGGCTTGCTCCCCAAAAGCTTACCTGTAAGAATTTTTATTCTCCGGAGCAGTTACTACAGCTATTACATTAATCTTACTCAATAAAATCCAAAAAATAAAGTAATCCTTGGTAGCTCGGCCAAAATATGATTGGCATCAATCCAGGTACTTTGGATTAGGCAGCAGCATTATGAAACCAGGATAAAAGCTTACATTTGCTTCTTTACAGCTTGGTGTTTGATATTGACCTTATTCTATGACCTCATTGTCATAAATTGCAGGGCTGCTGAACTGGAGAGCTTATAGAAGTTAAACGCAACTGGGGCAAATCTATCATCTTGATATTCCCCTTCAGGGAACAACCTCGTTTGCATCATGGAGATTTTTTTTTCAGGTCTCTTGCTACATTAATACCAATAATCTAGATAAGAGTTGGTAGCAGTGAAAGAAATAGGAAAAATTAAAATTAGCTCAACTGCTGGTAAAATTGCTTAGATACATAGAAAGATGTGTATTTTCCCTCTGCTCTTAACCACCTCTGCTCAGGTGGGTTTAAAATAAGTTTCTGTATAAAAGTACAAAGAATTAGCCTGTCCAAACACAAAGCCTGGGAAACATCAGCTTCTCCTGTTCCAAATAAGCAGGTTCACGTCATTTGTTATTACTCTATTATTATTCTAAGCAGCACACATTAACTGCTTTTGTCTGGAGGCAAAGCACTACTCTGCCATCTCCTTCCACAACTGGAAAAAGATTCTCATCTCGTTGTGCTCACATAGGCAAGACCGACTGGTAGAGAACAAGACTCTGAGAAGCAACTTTTTAAGTCCCAAAAGGAACTCCACCCCTCTTTCCACACCCATCATTTCCCTCACTCCACACCACCTCATAAATTCTGGCATCCAAAAACTCACCAGTATTTTTGCAGGCCCTATCTGCAATTTTACATTACAAAGTTACCTACCTATTGCTTTAAAAGGCACACATTACAGAAACAGAGTAAGAAACCCCATCTTTCTTTCAAAGTTGTGCATATAAAAGTCACAAGTTTCCAATTGTAAACATGAGGTGAAACACTCTCAAAGACTGGTAACAAATCTCTACAATTCTTACTCTGCTATTTTTTTGCAACCAATTTCACACACCACCACCAATCACTGCCAAAGGAGATGAAGATACAAAGTCAAATACTTTTAGAGAAAATAGTGTCTGTAAAGGCTGTGAATTTCTTTACAACTGGTTATTTAATTCACTGTTTTGCTGACCCTGAAAGAGCCACCAAGAACTTATCAAACACAGCTCTAAGGGTGCCAGACCTACCACTGTGGTTATTCAGTGCTATCTAATCATTGTGGGTTTACAGCAACCTGCAGCAATGACACATACAGAAAATACATAAATACATCCTAACTTTCAGTCCAAGGGAGGGAGACAAACTGAACACAGTTATATGCAAATACTGATCATTCACAGTTCCAAGAGTACTCAACATGAACTATGGAATTGTTTAGCTGATATTAAGCTATTCCTGCAGTAGCACGCTGCAGCTGCGTGCAGGATTTGTCAACTAAAATAATGCTTCTGACTTTTTTTATTCCAAATCTACATCCCATAACACCTTCAATTCCAATTCTAGTTTGAGGGATTTGAACAGAAAACAATGGTTTTCTATTCAGAAAGTGCAATTTCTGGGAAGGAGAAAAATGGACAAAGAAGTGTTATCTTCACATCTCAGAAAAGACAGTGACAGGGAGAGTTCTTCCT